GTTCATGAAGAAAAAGGTTTACTGCTAAAGGTGAGGGTCGAGATAAGGATGCTTCATAGGTATAGTGTGGAAAAGCATACGCAGCTCTCCAAGTAATGTAAGCAGAAACATTTTTTCGGCCGAGCCAAGAGAGGTAGTGTAATAAAAGCTATAAAAGTAAAAAGTGAACAAGTCGTGCAGGTTTTAGAAGTATGGGAAACATATCTTTGAGCCTGTGGAGCGGATTTTGCTAATTCCAGGTAGCATGGAAGCAGTCAGATGAAAATGGACTGGACAAGTAAGACTAGACCCACAGCAGGGCAGTGAAAACTGGTCCTCCAATGGAAGAAAGATTGAGAACATATATCATGATAAGAAAAGGCTAGGAACGGGAAGAGGAAAGTTTATTAATAAAATGTGAAGGAGAGCACGAGGCTTTCCAGGTGGTGTAAACAAAACGTTTGGTCAGCCTAACCAAGATTTTGTAACGTCGAAGAACTCTGAGTGAAATCGGATAAAAGTGGCCGATTTGGCAAGACTGTATTAGTCAGCGCGTAGGAATAGCACGTACAATAAAGGCAAGAAAAGGAGCTGTAACAGTAGAGGGTGAACAAGTCTAGCAGCCTCACGGGGTAGGGGAACAAGAGCGTTGGGTGCAAAGCGTATACCGCCTATGTCTAGGTAGCATAGGAGCATTCAGAGAGAATGAAACAGATCAGTGGGGCTAGTTAAGCGCAGGGTCGTGAGGCCTTGCACTCCAGTTGAGGAAATGAAAACAGAGCGCGTTAAAAAATAAATTAGAGTCGAAATTAGAAAGGTTTATTGAGGATTGGCGGTAAAGCCCACGAGGCTCTTCAGCTAGTGTAAAGGGATAGTGGAGTCAGCCGGACCAATAGAGGTGACGCCTCAGAAGTCTGAATGAACCCGGAGAGCTGGATGCAGATCGGGTAAGACTTGATCAGTCGGCGCGTTTGCATAATGACATATAGTAAAGGTGGGAAAAGAGCTAACAATCAATGGTGGGCAAGTCTAGCAGGCTCTAGATGTAAGTAAAACATCTTGTTTAGTCTGCGGAGCGTATACCGCTTAAGTCTCAGTAGTCGAAGCGTCCAAAGAAGAAGGCAAAGCAGGTCAAAAAGAAGTCAGTAGTAAAGAAAGGCATCGTGCACTCAAATTGCTATTCTTTAACTCTAGCAACTGAGTACCATGAAGGCCGTTAAAGCCTCCTAGGATAAAGATACAAAGCTGCCTATGTGCTGGTAATATACGACACATCTTTAATTACTTTGATTCACACGACCACGTCTTCGAAAGAGGATCCGATGTACCTTGAGGATGCCTGAGCACCGTGTGCTCACAACGCATCCATATTCTTATCGTCACCGTCTTAACGTGCTTTTAACAGCAGCAGTGGTCATTGCTGTAAAAAAGTTTGATATAAAAGAAACTATCACTATAGTATTCATTTAGGTGGTGATGCCGCATACTTCAAAACTATTCAAAATACCGTTTTGGTCCCATTACCTCATGTGGAGGTCGCTTCGACCTTAAATTCTTGTTATTCCTTCCCTCTGAAACCTAAGTGCCACTGTCTTCTGCGTTTAAACTCAACTTTTATTAAGGTATGACTGCTAAGCTTCAAAGCGTCACCTAGTCTGTGGCTTTTCCCATTTGCATCTTTACATGCTACCATTTAAATTGCCTTACAGCATTGCTTAGAAACATTTGTCTTACAAATACATTCATTTTATTCTTATGCTTGAGGTTCCTGTGGCGTTACACTTACTATTATCTCCATCCGTATTCCGAACATTGATACTGGTCTCTTCCTAGCTTCGTCTATTCATTATGACTGATACACTTCGAACGGCCACCTAGGCTGAGGCTCATTCCTATGGCATCCTTGCATGCTTCCATTTGGCTTGTGATACCACAACTCTCACAAACCTCCGACTTGCCAAATTTTATGGTATTTGGGCCGCACATATTTAGCAGTATTTTCTTCCGGATTCTGGATAACGTCCGCAGCATCCATCTTCAAAAATTGACCTCTAGTAAGTCTTCTAAGCTATAGATAGTCAAGTAGAGCCTGGCAGATTTCAATTATTTACAGTATTCTATTTACATTGTAAAGACGCATTGCTAACCGTCATCCCACTCGTCATCATTTCCATTCCTCCGTCGCATGATTCAAAGACCTTTGGCTTCCCATTCTCAGCTAAGTTCCAGCTACATCGACCCAAACATGGGTTTTCAACTCTGAAGGGTTGCTCTATTCTCAATAGCCAGCTGGCTTAAACACTTGATCCTTTCCATGGGATAGTAAGAACCCTCTCATCGTTCCTAAAGAGCAATTTCCGCTATTCTGGAGACGCCAGTTTCCCATTGCCTATAAATTGGGCTTAGTTTGCCTCGTACTCCCAGTATCACAAGTTACTCACCACGTACATGAATCCCCTGTACCAAAACGGAAGACACAACTCTCCGTGATTACCTTCACTACCACCGATCGCTTTGCTTATTCTCACCGACGTTCGAAAAATTGGTTTCGGTGCGTCACGTTTCCGAAAGGTCGTTCCGATTTACTATTCACCTGGAGCTTTTCCAAAGTCATTTCACAAACAGCTTTGCGCTCGTATAAGTGGCTTTTCCGATGGCTTTTCGTGGATTTTTTACTTGACCATGGAGGCAATAACACTTACAGAAATTTTTAAGGAATTCTGGTTCTATTTTGCAAAGTACCTCGTAATGATCCCGAATTGGACAAAGGAATGGCATTTTCGCCTGTTACGAAGGTATCAAGCCACAAGAAAAAACTGCACTCACACTCCCAATGAGAAGTACAGCGTGGATAGCAAGGCACGGTCCGCAAACCTCAAAGTGTATATCAGACAAAACCAGCCTCTATTAACAAGGCTTTTACTCACCTGCACCATGTATCAATCGTTTTGGTGAAACTTTGGCATTATTTGCCGGTTTCAACGATTACTGCCGGCACAATATCAGAGAACTTCGGATTAATCGAAAACAGATGATCGTGTTTTGGGGGCGGTACTGTTTGCTGTACTGGCTGCTGGGGAGGAATGTTAGGAAGTACGTTGTTAAGGCTTGCTAAGGGTTTATTATGGGTATATTGATTTAGGGGAACTGAAAATGGTGGTGCATTATTTTACGATGTATGAGACGGTGGTTGTTTTAGTGCGCAGTTATTGTTTCGGTTTCGCTGCGATGACTGTGGATGATACGGTTGCCTTCTGCGCTGCTTTTTGCCAATATTATAGGGCGTTTGGTTAATTCGAGGAACCCTGGTAGCACATGTCCAGATCCTGTCCAGATTGGCTTCCTAAACCTTCCTATGAGAGCATTAGGCTAAACTGGGCAGGATCTTATACCGTGAGACGGCTGAAAAGGGATTTTGTCCAGTTTACGGTGGACCAATGAAAATGCTGCCAGCGTTGACCAGTCGAAATACACCACTATGTGTGGCCATCCGGTAGGTCCAGAAACCTCGATTGCCTACCATGGATATCAGAATACGGACATTACACTTCTACGCACTTAGTACCTAAGAAATACATTGACTATTCGGACACAAGCTTCACGCAGTACGTGTTGCCGTAGTTGCTGGACGTGGGAACATACCTAGGCGGCGCTTCGTGCTGTTGGTTATGGAGCGAAATCAAGCTTACCGCGCACCTGGGAACATCATAAGGCGAAAGAACATGACAACCGGGTATACGAATGCTTTATATACATGGTGTGTAGTACAAACATCGTTAGTAGCAAAAAGCGGCATTGTCAAGATGGTTAATCCGCTTCGGCGATGGACAATGTGGGAGGCTAAGCATGTTCAGAATGAAGCAGTGGACTCACCTCGTTCGCTCTGCATACTTTACTGTGCTCAACAGGCGGTCGCTTGTGTCGTGCAGAATGCAACCAGGTTTTGATGTGACGTGTAATGTCAGCATCCGAGGTTGCATCACCCATGGGTTGCCTAATGATGCCTTTGTATTTTTTATGCATTACTGTATGTCAACCTACCTTGTACAATGCCGTTCATATTGGTTCGCGTAAGTGCAAACAAGCCACCTGCGCCTCAGTAGTAGATCGCCGCGGTAACTGATCTCATCATTAGCCGCTCCATTTACTCATGACGATGAGTTGCACGTTAGCACCGTGCACAGCACACAAATGGTTGAACTAAAAATCTTTCAATAATAAGACTGACTTACGGCCCTGTTATTGAAACCTGGGACCTTCAGCCGTTCATCATATCCCTTAAGCTCACTGAGACAGATAATTAGCAAGACATCGGGACTGTCGTTGCAGCATCTGCAACATGTTTACGGACATGCGGCGATGGCCGACCAGTTCTGATCAGATGAGGCATAGTTCATCTAAAAATGAAGCTGAGTGCAATGCAATGCGTCTGTGACGTCTTACCTTTAATCACGTTCAGTTCCTGTAGTACCTCCAGATAGAATGGTGCAACATCAGCAATAACAGTCGGCGCGATTACTGTTTAGTAGGGGCAGTAGGAATGCGCTACTTACGGTTGCTTGTTGCTGGCTCTGGACGTGTTGGACTGATGCCACTGAAGAGAGAACTGGGAACACGTGCGTAAGTTGCTGTAGCAGGTCTTTTGGGTTTGGTGGGACGCGCGGCATCTTTTTCATCGGAGCTAGAGCGGACGGGCCGTCGTCTATTGGGGAATAAAAAACCATACTCACATAGGACGCTTAGCTGGAAGACCCATCGGAATTGTGTTGCCTGTTGTTGTCTGTGTTGTCTGTTGACAACGCTGTATGCTTGAAAAGCCATCTGTGCTGAAAAAGCAAGACGTCAATAGTTGGTGTATAACTGTGTGGCATTGGGTAAATTACAAGATAATCGTTAAAATGTTTAAATCCGTCAATGTGCAATTGATAGGATGCAGTGTTATCAACCGCGAGCGAAAGAACAGAGCATGCAAGCTGTAAACCTCTCAGCAGACCTACGTGACCGTAAGTGCTCGGTGCAACCTTTTGTATACGGAAGTTTCGTGGAGTTCGCCTAAGCGTCCAGTAGTCCTTTGGCAAAAATGGCATCCACAGTTTCACATGCTCCATCAGTAGACGAACAAATGACGCTGGAATCTGAGATTTTTTAATAAGCTTTCTCAAGTTATGGACCATTGCGTCGGGGTCCCTGTCAGCGGCACAGAAGTTGGTAACCTTATCAGATGGCTGCACCGTGTGAGAAATCATAAGCAATATATGTTACAAATCCTCCTACCCTTTTGTGGCTTATCTGCTGACAACAGAAGCACTTTCTCGTAGCTAAATCCTGATGTCATTCTTTTTGCTGCACGGTATATGGTGCTACGAGACGGAAGCAGTGCAGTTAATTGATAACCTTTTCGACGCGGCATGCTGAACAGGAATACATATGTATCAAACAAGCTGTAACTGAAAAACCTGATAGATGTGCCCTAGGAGGCGCGGTATCAAAGGAGCTAAGCAATGGCGCATACCCAACCGCCAGCAGCAATCAAGGTTACGAAACCGAAGCTGGGGAAATAAAATGACCCGCCGATGCATTTAAACCACACGTCTTATGGTCAAATAATATTACGTATAATGCTTACCAACCATTTATTCATTAGCAAATGTCAAACTAAATGCATTTAGCTTCAAGTAATGCAATTATATCTAAACTGGACTGTCGTCCAGTTTCTGTCCAGTTTGCTACGTTTACTGTTACGATTGTGTTACCAGGGAAGATTTGAGGCGGTTTCAACTTCAGACGGCGACGAGTTTTTACAAATCTGACGTATTGACCGCTGTGTCTTATAAAAAGAGGTCATGTCAAGAGCTACCCGACGGAATGCGTTACAAGTGGGTACAATATCGTTGTGTCCATTGCACCCGGAAAGGAGGAGGCGGCAATCGTTAAGTGCGAATGTTGTGTTATGCGTAATTCATGTTGCCTAGGTATGCCAGCCTCAGTTGTAAAGCGAGCATATCCATCAGTGCAAAGGGCAATCACTATACGATAGGCTCGCATTGTCTGGTGCATAATCCTAATTTTCGCTTAGGGAATCCAAGTTTGTAGGTGGGTAACCAGCGTCTGACTGCCGAGGTGGAGCAGCAGGTGTTTGATTTAATGCAGTCCTTCCGTAATACCGGAGAATTGTGAGATTATGTCCTGGAAAGATATAACAAGCGATTGAATCGACAGAACCACTTTTCCATCCGCCATCGCTTAGGTGGGGCATCTAAGGGGAATGACGTAAACGCAGTAGCGGAAATTTTGGGTAAGAATGGCGCTGTGAGTGTAGAAAAAGATGGGTCGCAGGTTCGATTCGTATTTTTCGTTCCTGCTTCAATGACTTCCACAGTGGCAAAATACGGGGACGTACTTCGTGCGGACGCGACGCATCAGGTGAACTGCGGTGGCTATGTTCTTTGGCACTGCATGGTGATTGACGGTTTCGGCGTAGGTCGCAGCGTGTTTTACCCTTTAATGCCCAACGAGACGGCATGCAGTTACCTGGAGGTTGCTCGGGGCAGGTCAGAATTGTTGCTTACCACATTGTCAACAAAGACTATAGTCATGGATAGGTGCCTGGGTCAGATGAAGGCATTTAAGTCGGTATATCCACGGACCATGGTAGTATTATGCCGGTTTCATTTCCTGAGGGATGTTTCAAGCAAATGCCAGTCTTTGTCAAAAGTGGATGTACAGATTAGTGTACACGAAGACAGAATTGTAATTTAAGATGATGCTAAGAGCTATAAGGGTTAGAATCAAAGTGGCGCTTACTTACCTCAGTCGGACATGGTTGCACTTTGCTGGAAGGTTGGCGTACCACAGGTTGCGCAATGTGCGCATGTTGGGTGCCTTCACCACAAACAGAGTGGAGAACGAGAATAAGCACCTCAAGTGTGGATTAAGCGAAAGGACATCGCTTTTGCAATTTTTTGAGGCAGTTGTACTGAGAGCACGCCACGCGGAATCCCGTTGGACCACGCCAGTATGCAAATTGCGGATGTCGAAATCACGCACCAGCCCGGGAACCGGGCAGGTGCGAGAGTTGGTTTCCTGCCTTTCTACTTATGCCACTGCCATATTTATGCGGCATATTTCTTCGGAGACGGTCACGGCAATACGGCCTAACGGCACTGGGTATAAAGCTTTAGGTAAGGAAGACAAAGCTATACTGTCCTCAAGAAGAGTGTGAGCATTTTGCATGGGCCTAAGCAACAATTCCCCCGTGTAACATTCACCCACATCCTGGTATTATATAGACACTGTATTGTTGTGGCGAAGGCGGTGGAGCCGGCGAAAGCTTTTCTTTGCTAGTAGGCAGCTTAGTGAGTAGTTAGTTACCTCCAGTGAATGTATTTGCACGGCTGTGACACAACCTATGGAGCGGGCAAAACGTAATCATTACCGTGGTCAAAATTTTATGTGTAGTCCGATAGCTCCATCGCCTATGGTAGCATGTCTTTCACGTCGTCGGTAGAGTCGGGAACACCTAGTAGGTACCGGTCGCCAGCTTATTAGAGTAGTCTGTCAGTACTGTTGCATATGCTAGCATTGTGGTGACGCCTTTCGTGGCGCCAGGAGCCTCTCACACTTAAGAGTGGCCAGCTCATGTGAATAGTCAGCGACCCCCATCGCATATGCCAGCATCGCTGTGGTATCTTAAGTGCAGTCTGGAACACCTATTACTTACTGACGTCCACGTTATATGAGTAGCCAGTTAGCGCTATAGCATATGGTAGCATGCCTGTGACGTCTTAATTGCAGTCCGGGTTACATAGTAACCACCCGCCGCAAGCTTACATTATTGGTGACTTATCTCTATCGCACATGGAGGCATTGCTGTTACATCTTCGGTGGAGCCAGCAGCGTACGATACTTAACAGCGGCCAACAAACTGAATAGTCCGTTAGGTTCATTGCATTTGACTTCTTAATCAGAACCGGGAATATTCAATGATTAGCGGTGGCCTGCTTTTATAACCAGTCCATTAGCCCCATCGCTTATGGTAGCATAATCGTGACACATTCCATCTAACCAGCGACATCTCATAATTAATGGCGTCCAGTGTATGTGAGTAGTCCGGTAGCTCTGTTGGTTACGGAACAACAGTTTACTACGAGATAACATTACATGGATACGGAAGTCCCGTGGGATAGAAATTATTGCGAAAAGTGAATTGTACGATAAAGTGAGAACAGTTAAGGTGCCATCACCACAGACGTTAGTACAATAGCGGAGACGTTAGCGTATTAAACATAAAAATGCACTGTAGATGTTTAGCATTTGGAGAAAGACTGAGGGTTTAACTGCACCAAATGCTTTGTTGTGACACATTCTGTGCAGTCGGCAACATGCTACAATTACCGGCGTCCAACTTAGGTGAGCAGTCATTTACCTCCAATGCCCACGATAGCATCTATTTCACATCTTCGGTGGAGTCGGGAACACTTATTGCTTGCCGCCCGCCAGCTTATTAGAGTAGACAGTCATTTCCGTTGCCTATAAATAAATCAATAAATAAAGCTTTTTTTGACAAGGCGAGGCACGCCTTTACAGGCACGCTCAATTTGACACAACAAAGCGTGATCAAGTATGTGCAAAAATCCGATATGTTTGCCATAACAGTGCTTGTTTTGCAGGAGGTATGTAGGTATGTAATTGTTTGTGCCTTTATGTAGCTGTGTAGTTTGCGCTTGTAACTGTCGTGCTCTATTATTGAATGATTGTTATCGTCAGCAATATGCGAGTAGGAGATCGGTGTCCGTGGGTTGGAAAGGATTATCCAGATATCCACGGGGCAGTGAATTTATCTTGTGGCGAACCACGACCGCCACGTCACAGTGCTGTTAAGCAGACATTTTTGGCTTTTTATGGAGAGAACGCTTGCGAGGCGAAAACCTACTACGTCCTGGAACACTGCCGCCGAACTATTAGCTGGAACGGATTAGGCCCCAACCACCCAGCTGGCACAACGAGGAGGATTTTTGGCTAGCCGCCATGCTGTGCATTGCTGTGCCATCTTCTGTGCAGCCAGCAACCAATAACACTTACGAGCGGCCAGCTTATGGGAATAGTCAGTGACCTTTTTCATATCTTAGCATCGCCGTGACATCTTAAGTAGAGTTGGGATAGTCTGATAATTACCGGCCACCCGCTTACATTAGCGGCCATTTAGCTCCATTGCATATGAGTATATAAATAAATAAATAACGCTATCCCCTTTTAAATATTAAGTGGAGTGGCGACGACCTAACCTTTACGGGCCCCCAGATTATATGAGCAACCAGCCAACTCTATTGCATATGTTAGCATCACCGTGACAACTTAAGTACAGTTGGGATTCTTTGATAGTTATCGGCCACTAGGTTACATCAGCAGTCCTTTAGCTATATTGCATATATATATTCCCCTTTAAATATTAAGTGGAGGGGCGACGATCTAATACTTACGGGCCCTCAGATTATATGTGCAGTCAGTCAGCTCGATTGCATATGTTAGCATCGCAGTGACAACTTAAGTAGAGTTGACATTTTCTGATAATTACCGGCCACCAGCTTTTGCATCAGTCCTTGCATATACATAAATACATAATTACATTCCCTTAGAAATATTACGTGGAGTGGTACCATTTAGTACTTACGCGCACCCAGCTTATATGTGCAGTCAGTCAGCTCCAATGCATACGGTGGCATTGCGGTGAGACCTTCCGTGGAGCCAGCAACATCTAATACTTCAGAGCGGCCAGTATATTGCAGTAGTCAGTTATCTCTTTTGCACATTGCAGCATTACGGTTAGACAATATATGAAACAGGTAACATATTTTAATTACTTCCAACTACCTTTCAGTAGCTCGCTTTATGTAATGCGTATAATGAAACACATATTCGCATCGTTATTTCCTTGTAGTCCGAGGATAACCATTCCAAAAGCCTTCGCAGACATGTATACCGTATTACAGTCTACTGGTTATTTATCTACTTAAATAATTTAAAATGCGCGTTCCCCTATTAAAAAGGCTGTAGGTAAACTCATTCACTTACCGCATAATATATCACCAGGCGTATCAAGAAATAGACTGATTATCTAAATTTTTGATTATCCTTGCATACTCTTGTCTTTTTACATCGCCTGACGCTACCGCATTAACACTGCATCTTGTACTGTATACAAATTCCTTGTAAATGTCCTAACGATTAAGTTTGCCATTAACGCCCG